AATATAAAACGCCCCCGTAAGCCTTCTCGCTGGCGTCTGCAAACCCAACGACCGTGATGACGCTATCTCTGTCGACGTTTATATGACGTGGTATTTTAATTTCTCTTAGTAAAGGAAGTTCCTCTCTAAAACGCTGCCACAACCGAACAATGCTGTCAGGCGGCGAGTAATCCCAATCATATTCACATAACCAAAGTTGTTTAATCAAAAGCTTAGCGTATAATACCACCGGAGCTACGAAACCCATTACATCCCATAATCTAGCAACGCATTACAGCATTGTGCGCTTTGTGCACGTTTCTGCGGGCGGGTTTACCTTAAGGTTGAACACGTCGAACTCCGATGACCAACACAGACCGAGCACCTTGTGCGTATCAATGTCTGTTATTTCACAAGTTTAAAAAAAGGGTAATGGGTTTTTGGTTACATATAATGTTGGGAAACATTTGGCGAATATCGGCGGATAGTGCTATACTAAACAAACGAAAATTGGCTATTATATTAAATAAACTGCCCTGTAAATTTTGCCCACTATAGAGGATATCGTTAAGAGAAAGGTGAGTGCTAGTTTTAGCACTAGCGTCGAGCACTACATGTAACTTAGACGTAAGGTTGTCTTCCCTAATGACCCCGTGATGTGGTATGAAATAAGACGGTGTATGTTCGTAGTTATCTAATTTCAGAGCCACAAGTGATATGTAACCTTCCCTTATATATTCGTTAATGACGCCGTCGTAAGTTTCCTTTAATTGGGGTGAAGCGAGCATCCTACGCTCCAAACTGTAGAAACGTTTTTCCGCCATTTGACGCGAATCGCCGAGAGATAAAACATCCCCTTTAAAGGGTAGCGCTACACTATATCGACCGTCGCGATCACGAACGGTCGTGCGTACGTAAATTTCCTCGCATAATCTATCATCTGGGCTAACTATAGGTGGAACGTTCACCACCTCCATCTCCCAAAATTTGCGGACTAACGATTCGAGCGGTTCGACAGCCATACAACAATAAGAGGTTGCCGAAATATATTAAGACGGTTTCCAATGCGTAAGGCGCGGTATGCGAGGAGTTGCCTCTGACCTTATTATGTAACAAAAGATGAGGGAAAAGCGATGCTCCAATGAGCATGTCTATGTTTCTGGGAACGGCGTAAGTGTCGTCTGCCAGAGTCAAATTTTTAAACTCAATCATTGCCGAGGTGTCAACCGAAACGGTTGGCAGACGTTCAGTGACTCTATCTACTACTAGTGCATTTATATCAAAGTTAATATTACGATCTATCCGAGAATAAAATTTCAAATTTAGATATCCCTGGGTAACTTTATTAGTACCTCCGAGGCCTTTGACTACGGGATATGAAGGTGTCCTATTTATTACCAATCCTAAGCGCTGACAACATTGTCGCGTTATAATGCTATTTTGGGATCCGCTGTCTAGCAATGTACGGACGCTTTGTTCGTTTGCACGCGAATCCCTAACTATGATACGGGCTGTACCCAGTAATACGGTTGAAGGAGGCTGTGTTCCCATATTCAACAATGAGCACAGAGCGACATCGCCAGGTCGACCGCTAGAATCGTCGACTTTAGTAGGTGTGATTTCCTTGTCCGATTTACTTGACGCAAATACGTTGCTGTTTTCGAAATGTAATAACGTGTGATGTTTTCTGGCGCACTTGTTACACACGGAACTAGAATTGCATTTAGCAACTAAATGTCTATCGCTTAGACAATTCAAACATAAGTTGTTTGTCCTTACTATTCTATAACGTTCGCTGGGCGAATGTCTACGAAAGGTCGCACAATTATATAAATTACCGTGTTGTTTATCTTTACATAGAATACAGGCATTCTACGGCGGTACTTGCGCAGCGGTTACGTACGTTAACGACCCTGCGGTTTTAGATGATGAAGTCTGTCTACGGTCGACACCTTTCTTAACCTCCTGTCTAACGTTCGAGGAGCGCTGCATCACTTTAATTTGGTCTCGCACAAAGGATGCTAATAAATCAAATGAGGGCAAGTCAGAGCTACGATGCTCCATTTCAAACGCACGCACGGTGTCGGGGTCTAGTTTATTTAGTGTAACATGGAGAAACACCACGTCCATAAGGTCATTAAAATTCAAGTTCTTAAGTGTAGCCACCAATGCTACAAATTTATCTAAAAACTGCTCTAAGCCGGCGATGTTCGCGGATGATATAGGTTTAATATCAAATATTTGGTCTAAATATAAAGAGGCTAAAATTCGCTTATCTTCATATTTGTCCTTAAGCGTTTCGAATATTAACAAATAATTGTTTGCTGTTGGTGTGAAACCCGAGAATATTAACTGTGCCCTGCCACTCAGTTTACTAATTAAATAATATAATTTTTCAGCGTCCGATAACGATGGATTATTATGTATATTGTTTTGAAAACTACTGAAGAAGAAAGGCCATATCTTAATATCGCCATTGAATACCGGAATGTCTATTGGGGGCAACCTAAGTGAATCACGTGGGCGTACCTGGGCTTCCGGCTTTGCTTCGCTTTGAGATGAGGACTGCAAGAGCCTCGCTGTTCTTTTCACGCGACACAACATGTGTTCAAATGCTAGAAGCGGCTGGTAGTTTACTGTATACTTAGGGTCGATTTGTAATTCCAAATTATTAATTTGGTCTAATATCCTTCCATAATCCGTCCGCAAAGAGTCCACCGTTTCGATTTCACATAAAAACGTCTCCCGCACTGCTTTTACGTTAATGTTCTTTATGTGATCACTAATACACTGTATACGTGAGAAGAGTATGTCCCTCTTGGCGTAAAGAGTTTTAATTTTAATTTCATTTCCACTAACTGCCACTTTAAATTACTAGAATTAATATTAGATTAATCACAATTAATTGCATAACGCTGGACGATGGACGCAATGTAATACAACTATATCTCACAACACTATTGTCTTGTCGTGCCGTATTAGGTCGTTAAATTGAACACCTTTACAACGAGCCGAGGTGACGCGTGTCGCTCGCTAAACTCAATGTTTTTTTTTTTACAAAATGTCGGGTACGCCGAAAAACCGTGCGGAACTAAACTGTTTTATATAAATGAGTCGATTCACTTATGCGAGCCACTAATAATTTTTAAATTTAAACTAAACAAGCACTATTTAAATGAATAATTCTATTTGCGAATAACTAACCAAAGTTTAAATTTAGACTAAACAAACACTATTTAGATGAATAACTCTTTTGCGAATAACTAACCAAAGTTTAAATTTAAACTAAAGAAACACTATTTAGATGAATATTCAATATTAAATTAGAGTGCATTGTCTAAGGATTTAATCTAACAATTCGATGATTGATTGAGAAGGACATTGAGGCTATAAGCACCAGTCCAAATCCGGCCGAATGACCAGAAAATGGTTGAGCGGCGGACCTAGTCCCCGGTCGAGCCTTGATCCTATTACGCGAGATGTTACACTATGTAGACTGTATACGCGGATGTTGCCTAAACTAGATGGCACGTGGTTCCCTAACAATGCACTCGCTCTTCGAAGAAAACCTATTGCTTGCCAAGTTTTATGAAGGAACCCCTGCTTGACCACATTAGGAGGAATTAAATTGGGGCGGATGAACTAATAAATCATAAATTTCAAGCAGGGCAACGTAAATAAAGAATTGCACTTACCGGGGTGTTACTTTGATGCGGCTTGGACGCTTTGCTGCTGTGTTGCGACTTCTGGCAGATCTCCTGGGGCCCCAGAGATGCGGTCCTGGTCGATGGTGCGATGGAAGAGAGCGGTGCGCGACTATATCTCACACGAGGTGAGGCGGTTACTCCTGGAGCTCGACTGCTCTAGGCTAATGCGGTTGAACTGGCGGTGCGCGTGGGCAAAGCCCTCTAGGACACGACTGTCCTAGGCGGTGTGGTTCCAACTGGCGGCCGAAGGGAAGAGAGCGCGCAAGTGCCGTGTGCTAGCTTATATTACTTCGGTCCTTCTTTCAAGGCGTCTCGGAGGGGCACGCTTCTCATTGGTTGCAAATCACGCGATATTCTAGAAGTTTCTTCTTTCCTCTCTCATCCCACCACCCCGGTGTGTCGGAGGGACAACAGGTGAAGGAAAGGTCGAAGGAAGGACAAATCTTGGCAAGAATACCGTCGAATAAAATAAAATACGAATAGTTTTCCGCGCAACCATAATTAATAGCGATATTGTAATATGTGGTTCAAAGAAAAAGAAATCTATTTTATCATTGTTCTAACCAATTGCTATTTTGTAGCCACTGTTTTTTATTTACCTGAAGGAAATACTATTTGGCATTTTTTAGAAAAAATAATCAAAAGAGAATTTTTAGAGAGATAAAGGTTGTTTCATTTTAAATTAGTTTTCCTAAATTGGTCGCAAAATAGGATATTTGCGATATCAAGAGCTATATTCTGAGTTTGTATGGTGTATAAAGTTCTTAAATGATGAAATCCGCCGGAGAACCAAGATTAATGATATAGTCTTCCATGTTTGTGAATTGAAATGGAAATGGGCTTTTCATGTCTGTCGCAATAACTGCCACTGAAGAAGTAGACGTGTTACGGAGTGGAGACCGCATCTCCGCATATATGGCATCTGTATTTTAATTCTTAACAATGCAGCACACGCACGGGGTGATAATTCGCCCTAGACCAATGTTTTCATCCATATTGTCTAAATTATTTGACTACAGATTGTGTCGTCTAGTGTTATCCTAGTCAAGTAAACAAGGTCAGTACGCCAGTGGCACTCGACGCGAGCGCAGGTGGCAAAAAAAGTCGGGAAAATGCTCGAGACGGAATTTCACACCACGCGAGTATCGGCGTTATAAAATCACTCGTTCGATTCTGAAGGGTTTCTTGTAAGTATTGATTGTATTTCTTTCAATTCAAGATATTTTAAGTTTCTGTAAGACTATTGTATATTTTGCTATGATCTTTGTATTGATTATTACATTTGTATCCATTATAGACGAACGTAAGGAAAATATGATACGCGGCTGGTTAGAAGAAGATATGGAGGTTGAGAGTTATATCGCCCCTAGCGATACAGAAGATAATGAAGAAGAGTATGCTATAGAGCTAAACCATGACTCAGAAACAGAGCAAGAATATGAAAATAGCATAGAAGAGACGGAAAAAAGGAGCGCAGAAGAGAGAGTAGATGCAGATACGGAAGAAAATAAGAATAGTTTTTCAAGCGATGACAATGTTTCTCTGAGTACTTTCTCAAACTACCACCAATCTAGAAATGGCACTCGTTGAAACAAAACATCACTAACGTCATCAATAACCAGATCGTACAATATCTTAGTACAACAATGTGGGCCTAAAGGTAACGCTAGAAAAAGCAAAAGCAGTCTCCACTATCTTGTTTCGAGTTGTTTTTTGATAAGTCGCTTTTGCAGATTATTGTGGAATACACAAACATCTAGATAAATATTATTCAGTTAAAATATGCACGTGACAGAGATGCTCGTCAAACAAACATGATGGAAGTTCGAGCTTTTATCGGATTGTTGTTGGTGATAGGTGTAAAAAGATTGGGAAGACGGAACCTGAGAGACTGTTGGGATAATTTTAGAGTAGTTTTATCATGTATATGCTCAACAAACCTTCAAAGTTTGGAATCAAAATAACAATGGTGGTAGATCTAAAATTCCTATACGTATATAATTTTGAAATTTATGAAGAGCCTTTCCAAAAATCTAGCAAAGTCCTGAATGTTACACTTCGAATGTTGGATCTCGTCTGCAATCTTGGATGTAATATCACGTTGGACAACTGGTTTACCAGCATACCGCTAGCTTAAGAGCTATTGAAATGGAAAACTACAATTGTTGGAACCCTCAAGTCTAATAAACCAGAAATCAGAAATATCTTTAATTTTCAAAGAATCACGTCAAAGAGAAGAAAAAAGTAAGATTGTATTCTAGTGTCATACATACCAAAAAGAAACAAATACGTGATTTTGTTATCTACAATGTATCATGATGGCACTATTGATTCAACTACAGGACAGAAAGATAAACAGAAACCAGAAACAGTAACTTTTGATATCAAAAAGAAATGTGGGGTAGACATTATTGATCAAATGTGCAATCAATTTAATGTTTCAGGAAACAGTAGACGATGACGATCTTCGCTCTTACTGAATTTTTTGACTTATTAAATCTTGCAGGTATAAATAGCTTGGTAATTCATCAGATGAGTAGGATGGCTAAAATAGAGCAAACACTCATTGCTTGGAGAATTTTTCAGTTGAATGTGGCGTTTGAATTGGTGAAACCCGTTATAAACTTCAGAATTTGTGTTCCAAATATTCCACGAGAACTAAAAACTAAAGCTCAAATACTCTTAAAACAACAAGAAGGTGACATTGAACCAAATCCAAATCGGTATGCCCACAGAACATAAAAAGTGTACGATGTGCCTATTGTCCAAGATCACGTGATCGTTGTGCTTCAAACTTCTCCAAAATATGTAGTAGATGGATTTGTCCGAACCATTAAGTCCTAGTTTGTACATATTGCAATGAACATACATAAAAACAGTTAAAACAAAACAAGAAAACCGAAAATATTTTAGAGTTGATAAAATTCATGACTTTTTTCTCTTATTTCTGTAAATTACTTTTTTGTGTTCATTTAATAAAAATATAAAATTACTGTAATATTTATAATAAATAATAAATACATATAATTATTTGAATGCATTTTATTTCATATTATAGTATATTTACCTAAAACAGATCATTGAAAATGGTCTAAATATTCACCGTGAATAGTACGTTAATCGCGTAAAAGCGTGTACAGTAGTGTTAATCGAGGATAAATATCTATGGGCCACGCATCCATTTATCATCACGAGGACTGTGTGATCGTTTGTTACCCTTATTATATAAGAAAAACAATATTTTGTTAAGGTTGCAATTCATTAATATATTCATAATTTGTTATTCTCAGTAAAGTATTGGTGCATTAAACGCATATTTTTCTTCTTTACCAGCCTGTAAACGTCTATTGCTGAACATAGGCTTTTCTATTTATATTAATCGCCACGTTTTGCAAGTGGACTAGCGATAGCAAATCCAGACGTCTCGCGCCTTTGACCTCGTCTGTCTGGGTATTTTACGTCTGGCGTAAATATGATGGGTATGCTGCCATCTCGCCATTGTAATAGAAGTCAAAAAGATCTTTCCGACATATCCCTTACAACACCTTCAGACGAAATAGGGTGATGGGACTCTTGGGGTGCACACGGATATTTTAAGTATTATTTACAAATTGAGACTGAATGAATATGAATTATCAAATTTTTATTGTATTTAAATAATGTACCGCTTTTCATATTTATAATCGATGCAAACAATTTTTTTTTAAATTATTTATAATTAATTATGAAGTAATTAAAATTTATACAAATTCAATAATTATCACGTGATTACAAAACGCGCCTTTAAGTGGCTGTCATATTTGTGACGTCATTGTGTTAAAGCACTTTCAACAAATCGAATCTTTATACATATTGTAAAAATAATTAAAGGTTAGTGCAGAAAAATTATTTGTGAAATCTAAATAATGTGCCCGGCCGCGCCGGCCGGTCATAACGTCATTGAAGTAACATGTACTTACATACTATATAATAGCTCAATGCTGGCTGTAGAAGTTTTTATGATGAAAAATTTTTTGACAAATGACAATCGATTCAAATCAGCTGAGGTTCGTAGTGCATCATTGTTAGTTTTATACATATATATAGTTGTTAAAACTAAATTTTATGTCACTTAGTTTACGTATACTAAATTTATGGATTATCGATTTGTGACAAGAGTTTGTTTCAAAAATCCAATTCCAATTATTTTCTAAATTAGCCTTGATCATAGATAATGAAAACGTAGCTATAAAATATTTGACGTTTAAGGGCTAAACTTATTCTAAAAGCGACTAACTTTTTAAAAAGTCTCACATTAGTGGCAGTTTTTATTTGATAAAGGTTTTAGTGTTGGTTTCGCAATGTTTTTAAAAATGTAATACATTAAGCAATGCCCATTACACTAATTAACTTTTGTTCTGATAAGGTAACAAAACGGAACATTTATAAATTAAGGTCTTATAAGGAGTACGGAACACGAAAGTCTTCGACCTGATAAGACATGCAGGAAATTGATGGATGCAGGTGACTCAGGACCATGCTTTACGGCATTCCTTGGATTTGGACCTATGTTTAGCAGTGAACTTGTGAAGGGCTGTAATGATGATGATGATGATGATGAAGGAGTACGGAATACGTGGAACACATTAGACTTTTAAGGGAACTATTTTACTAATTACTAGCGATCTGCCCCGGCTTCTCACGGGTGATTTCTGGATCTCGTCAACAGCTCCACCTACCGGGTCCAGTTGTGAATCTAAACCATTCAGGGACTCACTCAAACATACATAAAAAATTTCAACAGAATTGTTCAAGCCAGTTTCGAGTTTTGGCGAGATCGTCTCTATATATAAAAATAAATCGTTGTAACACAACGATTTTTTTATCTACAGAAGATTACGAGGCACAGGTAGACTCGTACAAGGCACAATTTATTTGCTATTGTGACACTGTTGCAAAGAAGCATGCACAGTGCTTCCTGTTCTTTGATATTTTATAAACCTTATACATAACTTTACATTTGTTACTTTCATAAATAAGATCATATAGATATATAGAGATTTAAGCTCCTTTTGTGTCTTTGACGTTCAGATTTAAGCTTGTTTCGCATAAATTTACAACATAAATACGCCGTATGTGGCATTTACACAGGCTTTTTTACGTCGATGACAATTTCCCTTGTGTGGAAGAAAATAAAATAAAGCAAAAGGTACCCAAGCAAGTCGATTTCAATCTTTAGGTCTGGCTATATAGAAATTGATATAAGATAATTTACGGGCTCTTTTGACTAGGTTTCCTTCGTTCTAAGAGAACGCTTGTGTCCAATATTTGGACGCTTGTAGGCTATTATTAATAGATATATCGAGATTGCGTGTATATGGGTGCTGGTACTTATATTTTTGAAGTGAAAACTTCCTTCTTCTTTCTTCTTCTTTCTTTAATCGTTGGGATTTGAAAATCGATTAAATGAATAAGCGACACCAAAAAGAGACAAACATATCTATATCTATAGAATTTGTCCTGCAAGAGGAATATTATATTAAATAAGTGCTTAGGCAACCTAGTGTGTATTTTACGTCTTAAGAGTCAAACAATTTTTGTTTGATAAAATGACTTTACGTATTAAGCAAATTACAAACAATTCAAAACAATTTTACTTGAAAGAAAATATTCTCTTAATTTGTTACACTAAAATTTAGGCTCTATATGTCTAAAAATAAAGCTTGTAGCATTTATTTGCTATAAAACTAAACTTTTATTTAATATTTTATGCCACATTGTGGTTAAAAAGTATTATAGAGTAAATTAATAATTTGCTGTGAAATTCATATTATGTCATATTTTATTTTCCATTTCATTTGAAGGTTCTAACGCGTGTGAACTGCATACATGTTCTTTTATACCTAAATTAGGTAAATCGTCAATTCAATTACATTCCAATATTTGTACGCCCGAAAACTCTTATTAATAGATAAATCTAAATTACGTGTGTGAGTGCTGGAAGCTATAATTTATACCTAAAATTCAATCGTCAATCTCATTACGATCGATTTCGAAGGCAGCGACAGAATCAAACTGGAGAGCGCCGTCGACATGTTTCGACATATATTTGTTACAGCTAAAAGCCTAAGTACGGGCGAATCGTGGCTTAGCCTAGTTCTATCTATGTTTCGGCTTTGAATCAACATCATTACAGCCCTTCACAAGTCCACTGCTGAACATAGGCCTCGACCAAGGAATGTCACAATGCAAAGTCCTGAGCCATCTGCATCCATCCCCTTCCTGCATGTCTTACTAGGTCGTCACTCCATCTAGTGGGTGGATGCCCTACACTTCGCTTCCAGCAGGCAGCAGGCTTAATGGAGACTTTTAACCGTAACATAATTATGGAATGTGCATACGTACTTAAAATAATTTCTAGGCACGAAATGACTCTATTGTGTTTTCTGTACAGTGAAACATCGTCATCATCATCATTACATCCCTACATAAGTTCACTGCTTAACGTAGGAGTCCTCAAGGAATACCATAAATCACTATTATAATTAGTAATCTCCATTCTATTTATCAGCCCGTTAAAACTATGGAGCTATCAGATGTTCAACATCTTT